CTTTGGAATGCTTAGAAAATTTTCTCATCACTAAACGTACAATTTGATAGCTACTGAGGTAGTGGCATCTTTGAAAATTTCAGTGGCAACTGAGCTAGGATTAATGATTGGTATTAGGAGATCAGGATGTCTATTCTGTGGGAGTAGCAGAGATCAGGTGACAAACTCAAGCATTCAGGATCTAAGAAGATGCTCAATATATAATGCACTTTGTGTGTGAATATTATTTATTTATTTTTAAAAAATAAGTTTTATTGGATTACTGCGACAGAGTTACAAACTTTCATGATTGTGTTTTAGTGATACAATGATCAAGCACCCATTCCTCCAACAGTGCATTTTCCAACACCACTGTTCCGAGTATCTCTCCTGCCACCCCCATCCCATCCCACACCCCACCTCTATGTCAGGTATTTTCCTTCTTACTCTCTCTCTCATTTGGGGCATTTTGATTTGCAATATAGATACTAAGAGGCCATCATATTTGGTCCTTAATCTACTTTCAGCACATATCTCCCATCCCAAGTGATCCTTCCAGACATCATTTACGTAGTGAATCCTTCTTTATTCCAACTGCCTTTTTCCCCAGCACGTGGAGTCGGCTTCCAAACCATGGCATGACCCTCCTGGCCCTTACCTCTACTGTCCTTAGGTCTTATTCTCATATTATATACTTTATATTCTACAAATTAATGCAGTAATTCTATGTCTGTCCCTCTCTTTCTGACTCTTAGCATGATACTCTCCATGTCCATCCACTTATGTGCAAATTTCATGATTTCTTCTCTTCTAACAGCTGCATAGTATTCCATTGTGTAGATATACCAGAGGTACTTTAACCACATCTGCTCTTGGGCACTCAAGGTTTTTCCAGATTCTGGCTATTGGGAACAGTGCTGTAATAAACACACAAGTGCAAATGTCATTTCTGCAGGTTTTTTTTTTAATCTTCCAGATATATTCTGAGAAGTGGTATTGCTGGGTCATTTGGGAGTTCAATTTCTAGTTTTTGGTGGAATGTCCAGATTGTTTTCCAAAAGGGCTGAACCTGTCGGTATTCCCAACAATGAGTGAGAGTCCCTTATTCCCCACATCTGCTCCAGCACTGTTTGTTCTTGTTCTTAGGCATGTGTACCAATTTCTGTGGTTCAAGGTGATACCTAATTGTTGTTTTGATTTGCATCTCACTGATGGTTAGTGGTATAGAGCATTTTTTTCAGGTGCCTTTGGCCATTTGAATTTCTTTTTTGAGGAAGTTTCTGTTCATTTCTTCTCCCCAGTTTTTGATGTGGTTGGAAGTTTTATCTTGTAAAATTCTACCAGTGTCTTATATATCCTGAAGTATATCCTGAATATTAAGCATTTATTTGATGGGTATTGGTTAAATATTTTTTTTCCCATTCTGAGGGCTCTTTCTTTGTTTCAGCACTGTATCTTTTGAAGTCCAGAAGCTTCTTAATTTAATGTAGTCCCATTTGTTTATATTTGCTTCGACTTCTTTGGTCAGTGGTGTTTCATCCTTGAAGATTCCTTTAGTTTCAAATCATGGAGGGTTCAGCTTACATTTTTTCTCCATGTACCTCCATGTCTTATATTGAGGTGTTTAGTTCATTTTGATCTGACTTTTGTGATTGGCATTAGACAGAGGTTTGAGTTCATTCTTTTGCAGGTTTCTATCCAGTTTTCCCAGCACCACTTGTTGAAGAAGCTTTCTTTGCTACGCTTCACATTTCTTGCTCCTTTTCAAAGATTAAGTGATCTTATACTTGTGTCAGAATATTCCACTCTGTTCCACTGGTCTGCATGTTTGTTTCTATTCCAATAGCATGCTGTTTTAATTACTACTGCTTTGTAGTATAGTTTGAGATTGGGGAAGGTGATGCCACCATCTTCTTTTTCCCAAGGATAGCTTTGACGATTTGTGGGGGTTTGTTACTCCATATGAATTTCAGTAGTGTTTTGTCTATTTCTTTGAAAAGTGTCATGGGTATCCTTAAAGGGACTACATTGAATCTATACAATGCTTTGGGGAATATTACCATTTTGATGATGATCCTTCTGATCCATGAGCAGGAGATGTGTTTCCATTTCTTATTTCTCCACTAAGAAATGGAGACACATTTCTTGAAACAGTGTTCTGTGGTTTTCTTTGTTTTCTTTTATTTCTTAAAGCAGTCATTTGTAGTTTTCTTTGTATAGGTCCATCATCTCTTTAATTAAGTTGATTCCAAGGTACTTAATTTTCTGAGGTGCTATTGTGAACGGATTTTTTTTAAATATCTCTTTCTTCTTTTTCATTATTTGTGTACAGGAAAGCCATGGACTTTTTGGTATTGATTTTTTAACCTGCCACTCTACTATACAAATCTATTATTCCTAGGAGCTTTTCTGTAGAACCTTTAGGGTTCCCCAAGTATAGTATCATGTCATTTGCAAATAGTAATAGCATTTCTTCTTCCTTTCCTATCTAGATGCCCTTGATATCCTTTTCTTGCCTAAGTGCTATCATGAGTACTTCCACCAGTATATTGAATAGAAGTTGTGAGAGTGACCAACCTTGTCCTGTTCCTGATCTCAAAGGGAAGGCTCTTAGTTTTTCCCCCATTGAGAATAAATGCTTGCTGTGGACTTGTGGTAGATGGCTTTGACTCTATTAAGGAAAGTTCCTTCAGTTCCCATTTTGCTGAGAGTTTTTATTATAAATGGGTACTGGATATTGTCAAATGCTTTTTCTACACCTATTGATATGATCATACTGCTTTCATCTCTCCTTTTATTGATATGATGTACTGTGTTGATTGACTTGCGAATGTTAAAGGATTCTTGCATTCCCTGGGATGAATACTACTTGTGTATTATCTTTTTGATGAGTCGTTGGATTCTATTTCCTAGTATTTTGTAGAGGATCTTTGCACCTGTATTCAGCAGGGATACTTCTCTGTAGTTTTGTGTGGTGTGTATGTGTGTGTGTGTGTGTGTGTGTGATTTCTCTGCCTGCTTTTGATACGACGGTGATATTTGCCTCTTAAAACCTGTTTGGAAGTGTCTCTGTTTCTTCAATTTCTTGGAAAAGCCTGAACAAGATTGGGAATAGATCCTCTTTGAAGGTTTGAAAGAATTCATTTGTGACTCCATCTGAGCCAGGGCTTTTGTTTTGGGGAGGCTTTTGATTACTATTTCAATTTCCTTGATAATGATAGGTCTTCCAGGTATTCCAAGTCTTCTTGGGTCAGTTTTGGAAGATTATAGGAGTCTAGGAATTTATCCAAGTCTTCAAGGTTGTCTAGTTTCATGGCATGCATGTTTTCAAGGTAATATCTTATTATCCTTTTAATTTCTGTGGATTCTGCTGTGATGCCTCTTTGTTTGTTTCTGATTCTGTTTATTAGGGACTTCTCTTTCTCTTTCCTTGTGAGTCTTGTTAGTGGTTTATCAATCTTGTTTATTTTTTCACAGAACCACCTCTTGGTTTCACTGATATTCAGGATTGTTTTCTGGGTTTCCATGTCATTAATTTCTGCTCTAAGTTTTATTTTTTCTTTTCTCTTGTCTGGTTTGGGCTCTTTTTGTTGGTCATTTTCCAAGATCTTAAGCTGTGAGTTTAAGTTACTTATATGGGTTCACTCTTTCTTCCTGAGAAATGATTGTAGAGCTATAAAACTTTCCTCTTAATCCTGCTTTTACTGTGTCCCATAGGTTCCAGTAACTCATGTCTTCATTCTCATTCATTTCCAGGAATCTTTTGATTTCCTCTTTGATTTTCTTTTTCTAAACCACTCAATGTTTAGTAGTGAGCTATTTAATTTCCAGATGTTTGGTTTGAATTTCTGTTTTTGGATGTGATTCACTTCTATTTTCAGTGAATCCAGGGTTTGAAAAGATCGTTGACACAATTTCTATTCTCTTAATTTTATGGGGGTATGTTTTGTGGCCCAGAGTGTGGTCTATCTTGGAAAATGACCCATGTGCACTTGAGAAGAATGTGTACTCAGCTTTTGGGGGATGAAATGTTCTACATATATCTACTAAACTGCTTTCTCCCTTTTGTTCCCTCAAATAAAGTATATCCGTGCTGTGTCTGAGTCTGGTTGATCTAGCCAAAGGTGATAAACTGGTATTGAAATCAACAATCATTGGTTTCTAGCAATGTCTTTCTTCAAGTCTATTAGCAGTCTTTTGCTGGTTTCTCATTAGGTGCATATACATTTAGGGGTGTGAGTTCTTCCTGGTGTACAGATCCTTTGATTATTAAGAAATGACTTTCACTGTCTCTTGTAATCTTCTTCCATCTGAAGTCTATGTGGTCTGATATTAGTATGGCCACCCCACCTTTTTGAGGGAGTCATTTGCTTGTAGAATTGTTTCGCTTCCTTTCACTTTGAGTCTGTGTTTGATCTGACTGTTCAGATGTGCTTCTTTTTTTTTTTTTTTGACTTCACAGTCTTTACTTCTAAACGAGTATCAGAACACCAAGTAATAGATATAGGACAAGTCCTCAAATCTTACCACCTAGTGATTTCGATGAGGGGAAACTAAAAGCAGCCAGACACCGCTGCTGCGAGTCACGTACTGGCCTTGGGCAGGGCTAGTTAAGGCCGGCTGCTGCTTTATTTGGGAAAAAAGAACTATTTACTATTTTTTCATAGATGAAGCCACTGACATTTAAGAAAGTTTTCGGGAAAAATAATTTTTGATCCCTTTCTTTCTTAAAAAAAATGCAATTTTTTTTAGTACATCTAAGAAAGACACTCAGTATTGAGACATATATTCATACATCGCTTGAGCTAAAAGGCATAGAATAACAAAGTATATTAAATTTCTAAGAAAAACGAGGAAAAAGGATGAAATCTTTGGATAAGGTAGAGTTCGTACCAAGAAACTAGATTTGCTATTCTTCAGAAAAGGGAAAGAACCTACCACCATATAAATAACTGAATGCCTTCTCACACAATTAGAACTCAAGCTCCACTTAAGCACCATGTCCTAAGAAAGTGTGTCAATCTACTGGCACAGGTGTGGCTTTCTTCTCCGCCTAGCCATTGATGTGATCGTTTTTGTGGATTTGTGGCTGGATGTCGCAGATGAAGGCCAGGAGGTTATCCAGAACCTCGTCCCTGTTCTGCTGAAAGTAGGTTTGGAGGACAGTCATCTTCTCCTGGGTCTCCTTCTCCACTTCAGTGCTGCAACTCCCGTGAGATCCCAGCACCTCAGCTTCCTTGGCCTTGAACTCTTTAACCCTCTGCAGGCGGTACTGCTTGATTTCTGCCTGAGCTTCTTCTTTGGCCTGCTTCAGTCTCCGATTCTTTCGCTTGCGGGCTTCTGACACCTCAACAGCCCGCTTCTCAGCCTGCAGCAGCTGCTGGATGTCCTGACACTGGCTGGCCATGGTGCTGGTGACTGCGAGCCCGGGGCCGGTCACTGCAACAGGCCGAGCACCACTGGGAGTCCCAGATGTGCTTCTTGCAGGCAGAAGAATACTTGGATAAATTTTCAGATCCATCCAGTCACTCTGTGTCTTTTAGTTGGTGCATTTGATCCATTGACATTGAGAGAGATGATTGTTATGGGGTTTTGTCCCATCTTTCTGACAAATTTGGGTATATTTGAGAGGTCCAGACACAGATGGGCCCAGAGAACCCAGGGGGACTGGAGGAGGAGTCACTGCCCTAAGAGAGAGCATAGAGCAATGGAAGAGACCTGAATCCATAAGTTGCCCCCCATCCCCGAGAGCAGAGCAGCAGTGAGGAGAGAGCAGAGGGATGCCTGCTCAGGCCATTGATCCAAAGGGGAAACCTGATGTGAGGAGATCCTGAAACAGGCATGCAGGAGGAGCCAATGCCCATGGCTCCAGTAAAGGGGAGATTCTTTACCCCTCCCCATCACTGGTCTCCTCCTTTGCTTGCTTCCACTCTGGACCCAGAGAGTCTAGTGAGGAACCAGGGGCTCCACCAGTGATGGAGAGAAGGCAGAACCCACAGATCCACAAACAAGGCTTCTAGCACAGGGTCTGATGCCTGAAATCTATAGACTGCTGATGTCTGGGGGTTTGTGGGAGAAGTCCCCTGGTGACTAACCTGAAGTGGGAAGGAGAGAAAGAAATCTACTCTTTTCTCTCTATTCACCTCTGTCACCATGGAAAAGCTGGGGAAATCTCGGACTGATAAAGTCTTCTGTGAGCCTTGTTCTTTTTAGAAAGGGAAAGTCAGATCTAGACCTTACCAGGCCTTTCAAGCCATTGTCTTTCCCTCACAGAAAAAAAAATGTTTTTTCTCTGAAGTTTCATGATTAATTCTTTTTTATTTTATTTATTTTTTTAATTTTTGTGTCTTAATTTATTAACTGATTATTTTTTACATGCCTTTACTGAAAATTATGTTTTGGAGTATAGACCATAACCATTTTCTTTAGTTTATTTATTTATTTATTTTTATTAGGGAATCACCATGAGGTACAGTTACATACTTACAAACGTCTGTGTTTGTGTTTCAGTCATACAACGATCGAGTACCCATCCCTCCACCAGTGCCCATTCTCCACCACCAATGATCACAGTGTCCCTCCCATCACTCCCACCTCCCACCCCACCGCGCCTCTTTAGCAAGGCATTCCCTTTTGTTCTCTTTCTTTGGGGGTATTGTGGCTTGCAATAGAGGTATTGAGTGGCCATCATGCTTGGTCTACAGTCTTCTTTCGGCACACATCTCCCAACCTCAGAGGGTCCTCCCAACACCCTTTACTTGGAGAACTTTACTTTCCTTCTCTAGCTGAGCTGCCTTTTCCCCCAACATGTGAGGTTGGCTTCCAAGCCATGTGACCTTATCTCTACAATCCTTGAGAGTTAGTCTCCTATTCTGTTACTTTATGTACCAGAGATGAGTGCAATATTTCTGTCTGTCCCTCCCTTTCTCACAGAAAAGAATTTCAAGAGGACACAAGCACTGAAGTCAAGACAGGTGTATTGGAAGTGCTGGAGAGAGAGACAGAGAGAGAGAGAGAGAGAGAGAGAGAGAGAGAGAGAGAATTATGTGGTCAGGAAGAAACATAGATTTCTCCAAAGGCAGAGAGAGGAAGCTTTAGTACACATCCCCACATTAAAATGTGCAAATAGGATATAAGTGGATGGACATGTATCATGTTAAGTGAAATGAGTCAGAGACAGAGAGGGACAGACATAGAAGGACTGCACTCATTTGTGGAATATAAAGCAACATAATGGGAGACTAACACCCAAGCATAGTAGAGATAAGGACCAGGAGAATTCCTTCATAGAATTGGAAGTCAGCCTCACATGTGGGGAGAAAAGTCAGATGAGGTAGAGAAGGGACCACTAAGCGAAGGATACTTGGAGGGCTTGCTTGGAATGGGAGATGTATGCTGAAAATATACTATAGCCCAAACATGACCACTCAATACCTGAATTGCAAATTATAACACCCAAAAAAGAGAGAGTACAAGGGAATGTGCCTGCCCAGAGACTGTAGGGAGGATGGAGTGGGGGTGGTGGAAAGGATACTGGGAACGTTGGTGGTGGAGAATGGGCACTAGTGGAGGGATGAGTACTCAAACATTTTTATATAACTGAAATGTAATCACAAAAGTGTGTAAGTCTGTAAATGTATCTCTGCCCCAACCCACCGGACTAGTCAACGTGGATAACTGGGAGAGGGTGCGTGAGTGAGAAAAAGAGACAGAAGAATGGGAGCAAGACAAGACTCTGATCAAGTTGCAAATTTATTTCTCCCAAGCTAGCCTTTTATAATTGATTGCATGAGGAAGTGAGAAAAATGGGGAATTAACAAAGCATGCAGATATTCAATTAATCATGGTGTGAACCCTAACGGTGGGCTCATGGCAGTTATCCTGGGCATAGTTCAGAAACTTACACAATGTATTTTAACATTTTTTCCAAGAAAAGACTAGTTCTTAAATTGCAGGTCAGGCTGTACTGACATTTTGGCTCCCTGCATTTTCTCACTTTTTATTTTTAAAATAGGCAATTAAGTATCTTTATAGAGAGCCTTAATTTTTATTTTTAAAATGGGCAGTTAAAAGTATTGGCAGTATAGAGGATCTGTTCTTGCAGCTCCAGAGTTAGCTCAACTCGTATCACAGAAGGCAAGCTCTCCTTCATGGAAAGAGGGGCATTAACCAGTGGGGGAAGTAGCAGCCTATCCCCCAGTCACTATTAAGGATCCTTTAAGTGGGGAGAGGAATATTGTTCAGATCCAACCTCTATGCAGATTGGTGTGCTTCTATGAGCTCAGGATGGCCTTTGAAGGCTCCTTGTCAGCAGATACCACCTGGTTCCTCTCCCGGAGGTGCCCATAGCATCATTACAACTGCCCTGAGATGCAGCTGCCCTAGTTTTGGTGCAAGGAGCCAGTAGATACACAAGGAGCGGGTGTACAGGTCCATCCTCTAGCCCTTGATCAGCAAGACCCAATTGATGGTAATGAATTTGGAGGGGTTTTGATGCCAGGGAGTCAATCTGCCTTTTTAATAAAAGCCATGACTCTATAAAACAAAAACGGAGCCAGGGATTTTACAATCAGGATACCAAAAAGGGGACCAAGCAGGGCAAGCACATAAGGTAATATTCCTCTCATCCCCTACCTCCGTTGGGAGGCGTCTGTGGGCCATCTCCGATTCTCGAGGTCTTCTTGTAGTAGTCTTATTCGATCTCAGACCACGCCACTCTGGTTGACGAAGAAGCAGCATTCTTTTTCAAAAAAACAAAACAAAACAAAACAAAATAAAAACAAAGGCCACCCTGTTCGTAAGTAAGGACGTCTAGGCCTCGTTGATTCTGGGCAAGAGAATTTAATTGCTCTTGAACAGTCAAAATAATTTGGGATACCTCTTGGATGGCCCTTATCAGCTGACTCTGCAAGGAATCATGTAAGGAGACAGCAGTGGTGATGCCCACTGTGCCTGTGGCAATGCCAGCTGCCACACCCAGACCAAGAAGAAAAGGGATGAAGGCAGGAGATCGGGGTGTTCGAGAATGTTCTTTCCAAAGTATTAGGATGGGTTCAGATCCTAGGAGTATACTAAGGTGTGGGAAAACAAAGACAAGCGTACAAATTCCAGTCAAGTGTCCATACAGAAGGAGGCAAATACCTGTGTCACAAAGAAATGAGGCATTACATGGAGGGCAATACTTAAGGGCAGCATCCATTATGGGGGGCTCTAGGAATATTTTACAATCAAGGGGAAGTTTCCAAATAGGAATACCAGCTAAATTAAACTTATTAAAGCAAGTAAGATTCTCTGGAACTGTAAACAGCACATGATGGGGAAAATAATGCAAAGTTCTATTAACATGACAGGGCTTAATTACTTCAGAGGGATTAAGGGTGTCATTAATCAGCAAGCTGGAGGAATCTAGGAGGGGGGCCTCATAGGAGGGGCGTATATACAACCAGCACCCTTGAGCGCACACAACCTGAGTAGCATTAAGCAATTGATAGGAGTATTTCAACAATTCAAGTAAAAGGGCAAAGGTCCAAGAATGTACTGGGTTAACTTGTAGAAGAGCTTGTAAAGCCTGGGATGCATGAGTCAACTGTTGGCGAACAATCTCTGCAGGTGAAGGGGTGAGTGCCTGAACCCAGACCTTCTAAACCGTAATTAAACCCGTGGGGTCCATCCCTTTTGCATCCACTCTGATCCCGGCATAGGTATGAGAGCTCCAACGGGAATTGGAGGGATCAGAGATTCTATATGTTACTGGATTACATTGGCCCGACTGACAGTTCTTAGGAGAAGAAAGAAATGTCAAAATGCTCCCCATAGAACTGGTATGATCATGAGGACAAGACCAATATGGGCAAAATCCATGCGAGACATGTGAAAAGGATGATGACTGCCAGTATTCCCAGCAAATATATTTCTGGTCAGTGGAATAAGTTTTCTCCCAAGAGCTGCAGGAGTCATCAGGAGTCAGATTGTTATGAATATCAGTTTTTGAATGCACTCAGAGGCCCAATGGTTTCCTCGTTCGCAGCGTGGGCAGGAAGTGTTTGGAGGGTGACACCCCATAGTACAATTCTGTGCAAAATTACTTGGATGCCCGCATTTGAAGCAGGGTTTTCCTCTAGGGGCGACATATTCCTTTAAGGCAGCCTCTCCTGGCCATCCCATTGGCATGAGAAGAGCCAAACTCTGATCATAACCCAGTGTAATCTGAGAGGTGAGTGTTAGGGCGCAGATCGTGATCTCCCTTTAACGACAAAGAGACTCCAGAGACTGCAAACAGCAAGCAAGGTTTATTGTAAGACTGGCTAGCCAGGGTCAAGCCGCCTACACAGACACGCAGGTCAGTTAGGTGAGGCAAGACCCCGAACCTCTTCAAAGGGGATCTTATATAGGCCTTCACTGGCCGTT